GTACGATTCATTTTATAGTGTATAGGTTGTTTGTAAGAATAAGAAATAATCATAATCTTCTAGAAGAGAAATATATTATATGTCGAATTTCGTCGAATCCTTTAGATTTAATCATTAAATAAATTTATCACATTTTTGAATAAGGATCTTAATAATTTGCCGTTTCTTGAATCAGCTTATTTAATCGAATAAGAATCTTCCGGAAGGGATTCGGCGATTAGTTATATTAGTAATTTTATAGTCCCCAGCACAGGTCGTATCCCGTAGAGCCCTCTAGAATTATAATCTTCCTGAAATGGGGGCCATTCAATATTTAGTCGATTTATAATCTTTCAGAAAGAGATCCCAAACGCGCGCCGTATCCCCTACAACCTTCGAATTAGAATCAATACTGAATCGAATTTTAGTTTTCGCATCCTACAGAGCCCCGTAGATTCAGTGGAAAGTAGTATTTATAATGTATAACCTTCCGGAGCTGCGACGTGTCTATGCGTATGTTGTATCAACCGCTATCTATATGAATTTAACCGCGTTGTTGTCTTCTGAAGGGATGCTTCCCGCAGAACCCTCTCGTTTCAGCGCTGAGTCGCGTTTTTGTCTTCGGGAATAAGGGTCGCATCCCGCAAAGCCCTATAGAGTCAGCGTTTAGTCGCATTATATGGCAGTCTTCCGGAGAGCGGTTGACCGGAAGCTGTTTCGTTGCCAAAACCGTGAGCACCCACAGTTCATTGCCACGGGCTCGAGGTTGATGCCAACGCGATGGACCCGCTTCTTTCCCCCCCATTGCCTGGCGGCCAACTTCCTTGGCTTTTTCGCAGCTGGAGTCCGGCTCCCTTCCTGGAAGAGGGGCGGGCCGTCACGAAAATCCTGGCTCTCACCCGAGAACCCACTATCCGCCACGATGCCGCCGTAGTCGGCCTTCTGTGCCCCGACCCGAAGCCATGGTCCTAGGCAAACCAAGCTCGACACGTCTCCTTTCTTTTCTTCTTCGCCTCGTCCAATTCAAGCTTGAGGTCTCTTCTGTCGTTGACCCTTCGGCCGGGTCCTCGCCGCCTGACTGTCCAAACCCGCGGCCTCCGCGGCATCATCCTCCTTGCTTCTCTTTTCCTTTTGCTTTTATTTCTTTTTGGACTTCTGCCTCTTGAAGAGGCCAGCAACCGCAGCGCCTTTCTCCCCGACCTAGTTCTTCTTTCTTTTGCCAGATTAGCGTGCCAAGCTCGGCCTCCTACCAAGAAAGCCCCTTAATGATGTCATCTTCGACTGAAGCCTCGGGAGGAGGGAAGCTCTGCTTCCTTGAACCCGTTGGGCTATTCTTGATCCGCTCGGCTCCTTCCCTGTAGGGAGATTGCCAGCCATCCTATCCTTTCAATCTCCTCCTCCACGTACTTCTTGTGTTTGCCTCTCCGCTGCTTTGCAAAAGCGCAATTCAGATTGCCAACGGTCACCCTTGCTGGACCATCGCAAAGTCACCAAGAGAGATGCTCGTCGCTGTCCGCCAGGAAGGTCTCGGAGATGGCGTCCATGCAGAGTCGCAGGTCACGAACTCCACAAAGTCGCCCAGATATGTTTTTATGTATACAATAAACGCAAAAAACACTTCCATATCACCGTACGACAACAAATGTAATCGGTGAGATATACACTCGTTTTGGAATCAATCACTTTTCAGGGAAACAGATATTCACCGTACTACTCAATTAGATTCCATGAACCGCAATTCTATTATCATAGAATCATACAGTAGTGCTGCTTGCATGTTCCTGGGAATCTTTGACATGAAACATACTCTCGTTAGTGTCGCTTATATTAGATATCTGGAAATGTTTAGCACGGCGTTTCGTAAGGTCGGGTGTAGTAAGTCTCCAGTGAAGTGTCAAGTCTCGGCAGAATGATAGTGTCAGTGATTCTGGGTATGAAGTCTTCGAGTATGACATCAATGTCAGCCGTCATTTTTTCAGTCAGCCGGCCTCATCTACGGATCTCGTCGCATTGCCTCTGGCAGCAACCATGTGCATTCGTCTGCGTGCGGTTTCATGGGGACGGATGCGTGATAAAACATGCTGATGCCTGGGCAGCTGCCTCGGAAGCTGATGCCACGCCCTGTGCCGACCAACAGACTGGAATTCAAACCAGCACACATTTCATTTCAAACGATCGAAATTTGGCTGGATGCGCCTGTTCCACGAGGGAGCGGACATTCGTAGATGCTGCTCGTTCTTGGAATCCTTCGGCAGCTGCCGTTGCCTGTGATGGCTTCCGAATCGAAGGATTCCGATACACACCGCAAGCCAGCACTCTGCCTGGGCCATTGCCTGGGAGGCTGATGCCATGCCCTGTTCTGCTGCTGATTGGAGGTTCAGTGCCGTGGACTGATAGGCCTGCCACAGGGCTGCTGTAGCTCCGTGTGCTGTAAAGCTACGGTCGACCCTGCTTTCTCGGGCTGCGCCTCCGAATCCTGCACCTGCTGCACCAGCTCCATGAATCTCTGCACGAGCCGATCAAGCTCCTCGCAAACTGAACTTCATTGCCCTTTATTCACTATGCCCGACAAGGTTTAGACAGGCATACAGCGCAAATACCAATGCAGCCATGAGCTGGCACCTCTGTCGTGTGCTGCTTTACGGCAGCCGCCCGGGCCTTCATCAAGTCACCAAGGCAGCCGGAAGCCGACACGCTTTTGCAAAACCGGTGCCTGTGCGTCATCTACAGCCTTCTGGCCATGCTCCTGTCCAAAGCCGTAAAGTGGTGAGTCTTGGCCTGCTGGACCAATGAACAAAAGCGTTTTAACTGTCTCGTAACCTTCCAGCTGGCCGCAAGCTCCTCCCAGGGCTGCATAGGCAAATAGTAACTTGCATCTTGCCGATAGCCTGACTTGACGTGCTTTGGGCCTCCACATCTGCCGCCTCCAAGGCACGGGCGCCGGCTTCAAAGCCCATAGGGTCAGATGCACCTGACCACATGCGCCAAATGCCTCTCTTAAGGCCGCTCTTGCTGCTCTCCCAAAGCCGCTCATGTTGACTGAGCCCAATACCTGTGGCTGCAGCCTCTGCGACCTGTGCCCGAATTGCCTCCCAGCATGTAAGGTGCACAGGCAATGCCATCTGGAAGATCAAGTACCGTAGACGTAGCCTAAACGCGGTAGAGAAGTATCTCCGCTCTTGGACCCGCATATTGACTCTAGTCAGGCGTACCACGCGACGTCCCTGGCAATGGTGCCAACCTATGTCCAAAGCTCACGGCCTCGACTTCTGCGACTCGCGCAGAAATCTGAGTTTCAAGGGAATTGAGCTGACTCTGCAGCTCCAGCTTCTCCTGGCTTCACGGGTCACAGAAGGGCAAGAGGCAAGCGAAGCCTTCAAGGCGCAGTCTTTGCAAGGCAAAAAGAATGGCGAAGCCACCTTCTCCAAAGCTGCCTTGTCCGATTCTGCAAGCGAAAGCTTGGCTCCCAAGGTCTCGCTCCCTTGGTCTAGCGGCAAAACGCGATGAAAGCTGCACATCCACAAAACGCGTTGCTCGCTTGACGGAGCTGCAGCTTTTGGGACACCGTCTTGTCGCTCTTCCGACCGCAACTCCGATTGTGAAACCATCGCCTGTGCGAGCTTAAAAACCTTCTGCTCATTCATGCAACAGCTGCAGAGCCATCGGCAGAGTTCTCAACCCACTGAGGCTTCGCTTTGTCTGGCATCTGCCCCTCGAGCCCTACACTGCAGAAGTAACATTGATTGCGATGCAGGGGAGGCCTACTGAAGCATGCCATGACCGCGTAAAGAGATAGCCTGCAGACATGAGACAAGTCTCCTGGCTTTTGTTTTGCCAGCGGCGGCTCTGATGTCAGCTGTCACCAGCATATAAGTGGGGTTCGAGTATTCGGATATCATTGTGTCGGGGCGCAAGAGGCTCCCCGGGAGTGCAGTTGAGGGCACAAGGCGCTCAGGCGTCAAGCTTCTTGAAGCCCCAGCTGTCAACTGACAGCGTGATGCCGTCGAAAACGGAGCCGTTCAATGCCTCGATTGCGGCAGCCGCATCCTCACTGGATTTGAAGGCTGCACCTCCACTCCCATTTCTGGCAACCTCTGCATAGAGACAGACAGGCCCCGCAGTGCACATGTGTTCCTTGAGCTTCTTGTTGAGCTCTACACTGCAGTTGTCCGGTGGCAAGCCCCCAATGAACACCTTTCGGTCGTTCGCGAAGGTTCTGAGACCACCCTTGCCAAAGCCTTTCATCATGGGGTTAAACATGGGCTGCCACACACCGTAGCCTCCCCAGTTGCTTCCGCAGCCAGCATAGCCCTTGCCTCCACATCCAGGCCCACTGCTGTAGCTGCTGTAACCTTTGCCACATCCTCCACCGCTGAAGCTTTTGCCTCCACTTCCGCCTGCAAATCCTTTGCCGCCGCCTTTGTCGTAGCCACCGAAGCTGGCACATCCACCAGATCCTCCTCCATATCCCCCGCAAGCTCCACCTCCCTTGCAGCCTGCTCCATAGCTGTTTCCCCAGTCCTTTCCACCACCACCCCAGTCCTTGCCGCCACCACCACCCCAATCCTTGCCACCTCCGCCACCCCAATCCTTGCCACCTCCACCGCCCCAATCCTTGCCGCCACCGCCGCCCCAGTCCTTGCCACCGCCGCCCCAACCCATGCTTGAGGCGAGGCCCGAAGCCCTAAGCTACTCCCAGCAGGCTGTCTTGAAAGCAACAAAGCAGGCGGCGATGCCCACCTATTGGTTTAAACTGAGGCATTATAGTCCTTAGTCCACATGCCCTTGCCTGGATATGTGGGCGCGGGTCCGCGGCTCATTACGAGACGTGACCAATGCAGCTTGCGCGCTGGCCCGAATGTGGTCGATCATGCCCATGACTTACTACCACCGTGGACGGCTTGTTTGACCGTTCGCAGACTGGTGGGCTGGTCCCTGAAGCTGATTGCCATTTTGATGGGCAGCCTGCATAGTTAGCCTAGGATTGGCCTACGGCCAATATATAAAGCTCATCTTCTGTGAGCCAGTATGTACAAAATAGAACACGCAGGCGTGGAAAGCCTTCAGTTAAAGCTCTGTCTTGAAAGCACTCCGAGAGAGAAGACCTTTGTTGAGAAAGGGAATCATGAGTCTCCGGCGACCTACGGTCACAACCAAAGCAACAAAAATGTGCTGTTTTCTTCAAGCTTCCTCTGGACCTGCAGCTCAAGGATGATTGGCAAAGCACGGGAAGAATGTGCGATTTGCAAGCAATGAACAGAGAAGGGGATAGAATTGCTGGAAGCGCACACACACACAGACTTCAGATCAAGTTGCTCCAGGTACTGCTGCATCTGCGATAAAGCGTTGCTACCAATGAAGCTCTTCGCCGGCTCCTGGAAGTGGCTTCCCTTCTTTGGTGCGCAACTCTTGGCCGGCAGCTCATCTGCATTGCTTGCCCCTCTGAAGTTGGGCCCTGCCTTCTGCCCTGCCTCGATGAAGAAGAGCGTCGGGTATCCCTGGACGGAAAGTGCCCTACTGCCGCACGCTCGGCGTTTCAGCCCGGAAGAGCAAAAGCAAGAGCCGGGCCAAGCCTTCGCGTCGAATCCGCTAATTGGCAAATCATTCGCTTGACCGTCCATCTTGGCAACAGAAAGGTCCTCCCTGTGCGCCACAACGGATGCAAAGGAATCCAACCTCGCGAGAAAGTTGTGCTAATTACTGTGCAACTGACGCCGCTGTCGCTCTGGCATGCATCTGGCTTAGGGCCGCGCAAGGGCATCATATTCTGGCAGTGTGGACAACCTTTAGCCTTGGCCGAGTCAGATTAGAAGGAGCTTCGACTGGGGAGCCTGGAATCCGCTCCGAGACTCGCGACTACATCCCTGCCCTATGTACACACAGCCCGTTGCTGTTAATGGTCCGGTGTCAATACAATCAAGATGTGAAGGAGAAGGGGCCCAGAGGGGGAAGAAAGAATTGCGAGCGACAGCAAGAAGGCTTTCGCACTGCAAATCCAAAGCTAAATATCTGGGCTGGATGCTTGGATCATAGGTTCTGGCAATCATCACCAGGCTACGGAGAATCGGATGCACAAGTTGAACAAGAGTTTGGCAGGACCCGTCAAGGTGCTCCTATGTGCATTGCACTTACTTTGTAGGCGGAGGTAACCGTAGTAGCTTCAGCTTGTGGTCGCAGCATCACTCTCCTTTCGGTTGAAGGGCTAAGGACAGTTAAAGGCCGAGTGGCATACAGCATCAACATGCAATGGCGGATGTCACTGAAAACCGTCTCAATGAAATTCTTCAGCACCACAGTCACCACCGGACTGGTCTGCTGCACTGGGATGTCCTGATCAGCCACCAAGCTTTCTAGGTATCACCAGTCGGGTGTTGCCTAAGTTTCGGGTTTCCGGGCAGTTGGTCCTCTGCCGTCTGCAGTTTCCGTTCTAGTCTACTGTACTGTGATCACGTCTGACGGATTAGTGGCAGCACATGGCGTGCCTGATTAGAGCTTAAACTCAACACAGCAACACCACACGAGCCTTCAGTGTCCCGGCTTCAGTTGCATCGAGTTTCAACGAGGGTCTATGCAGGGAATGAAGCTTGTGAAGGGTGTTTGGAGGAAAAGCTGTGACCCGCCTTCTGAACATGCTCACCGGTGCATTCCGTTCTGCTTGCTTCCTGGTGCTGCATGCCCCTATCCAGCTAGCCAAAGCTATGCGATCCTCAAGAGTCCGGGTCGGGCCGTGAAACTGGGAACGTCTCTTGATGCTTTCCCCCGCGCGATTTAAAATCAAGGCTCTAGGTGTGTGCCGGATGCGATAGATGCTGTGGTCCATGCCACCCTTATGCCTCTGCGACACTCCAAAACCCTCCCATGCCTTCTGTAGCGATGCACAGCACAAATTGCACTGTATAACGGCTCACCGGGCACAATTGTGGGGTGCTTTGCAGGCAGTGTTGGTCAGTGACCACTTCGAAAGCTTCCTCGTATCGTGCCAAATATCTTACCTCTTGCTGCGGAGCGGTTAGGGCACACAAGGATTGCTTTTGATACTACCACGATTCGTCTGCTTCGGTGGCGTGGGCTCCTGCCACGCCAGAGAGTTTACCCCGAATTGTGTCTTGAAGGGTGTTTGGGTGTTCCCAAGCCGTACTAGCCTCATGCATCCCAACCCAAAACATGTGCCCGACTTTTCTGCTCGGTGTTACGAGCTCGGGGGTGGGGGCGGAATAAATGCATGGCCGACGAGCGTGCTACCTTGTGTAAGTGGCCTTTCGAAGTGTGACATAGCAAGCGAGTATGGATCAAGTCTTTTGAGCAGGTTGGGTTTGGAATCAGCTGCAACTCTACCGCGTCCTCCGACCGAAAGTTCTCAAGCATCTTGTCCATGCCAACCTTCGACTTGACCTGACAGGCAGCAAGGTCGTTCGCGCTTGTCGTCTCACTGCCTTCACCGGCTCAGCTGCCCAACCTCATTGTCTTCGGCTTTGGGCTTGGTCGGCACCCTGTTCTTGCGAACAAAGTTGTGCAAGTCCTCGGCCGTTCGCTCCGAAAGCTTGACAATATCCGCGGAACCAGGCGCCAGATAAAAAATTGTAGGATAGCCGGTGTACTCAAAGCCACCATACGGAATCCCATTTGCGTCTCCGTTCAGCTTTGCAACCACGATAGTCCTTCCCTCATCTGCCATTTTTCTTGCAAACCTCTCATACTCGGGCGCAAGCTTCTTGCAGTGACCACACCATGGAGCGTAAACTTCCAACATGACATGCTGGCCCTGATCCAGCGGACCGAACACCATATCTCTGAAAGTCATGCCAACTACGGTCTTTACAAGCTCTGGCTGTGTCGCTGGCGGCGGCTCCGATTTGACGAACTGCTCCGCGAGCCAGATCCCCAAAGAATCACTCGAGTATGGCTCGTCGGACTCATAAGGCTGGTACACTGACATCTTTTTGGCTGTGCCAGGCCAGAGCAGCACCAGGCTAGCAGTGTCCTTTTGCGAACCGTGCAAGTAGATGCACAAAACAACAGCTGTTCAGTAGTTAGTACAGCCAATAAAGCAAATTCAAAGAATGCCAGCAGCATCACAGGACGTCTGGGGTACGGAGATTCGCAAGCCTTGCTTGTTGCCGCCAGTCCATGGCAACTTCTTTCACGGTGGTGTAGTTCGCCGTGCTGCCCCCTCGCCAAAAGATTACGGGCTTCTGCTTGGATTTCACGATGGCCCAAGCCTCCTGATTCAGCTGTCTTTAGTACATCTACTTTCCATAAGTCTAAGTCTAAGCCCAGAAATGCAATCCCAGCTCCAACATGTTGTAGACAGCACATGATCCCGCAGGCGGTACCCGAACCGTCTGATGAATGTGGTCTTTCTGGTCATCACCTACAACTGGTAAGTCACAGAAGCATGGCGGTTGCCAAAAGCAGCTGGCCTCGAACTCATCTAAGGCAATGTGGATTGACAAATATAGTAATCAACGAGGGAAGAAGATAGCAGGCTGACTGTGCGTGTCGTCATGTACTGCCCCGGAGAAGCAATCCATTCCCGTTGGCTTGTACAGAAACACTGACAGAAACCTTCGACTGCAAAAAGCTACAGACCTGGTCCACGAACTGCTTTACAAGGGCAGCCAGCAATCAGGTTAACAATAAGGTCAAGCACGCAAACTGCGTCTCATGTACTTATCTACACTGCAAGGATGGTGCCCGTGCCGGCACATTCTACGGAACGATGCTTGCAAATTGTACACATGCGAGCGCGAAACCAAGAAGCATGCAGGTCATTACTGGCAGTACTGTCCTCAGGCTGTGACAAGCATGCAGGACATCATGCAACCGCTAAACGTAATGATGTACGAAAACACTTTTATTGGATAAGCCTTGACCAGATAATCGTGGGAGAGAACACCCAGCAAGAACCGACAAAAAAGAACCAACCTGACCGCGGCTCTTGAGGACTGCCTTGCCATGCCGCTAACTTGATGCAGCTCCACTCCCATTTCTGGACACACTTAATTTCTGCAAGGTTGCGACGTCTCAAGGACATCAGGGTCTTGTTTTGTGACAATGCTTGGGCCAAGTAATCGAGCTATATACTTCATGTACATGCAAATTCGTGCTTCCGTAGTTGCTTGTTTCGCTCCTGCTCACACTTTCATGAAACAACCCCTTTTTCATCACCTGATTAAAACAAAACGGATAGCCTTCTGGCTTCGGGTTGCCTCGGACCTTGAGTCGTCCTTCCAGTACAGTACGGAAACGGGGAACGAACCAATTGGAGGGGTCGGATTGTGCGGCTTTCGCAATTCATGGCTAGTGAAGAAGCTTCAGTCAGAAGTCGGCTATCTGGCTTGCACTAGGCAGGGTGTTTTGCGGCAGGTCTCCAAGTGACTACGAATGACTTGCGACCAGCAAAAAAATTACTTGGTACAGCTTAAGCAGAAGTGACATGTTGAGTCGCAGCATGTTGGGCCATTTGACATGAGAAGGTGTCACAAAGCCCACCGGGCCACACCTCGTAAAGAAGTGTGCCAGAATTAACGGTGGTCTGCATAAAAGACTTTTGCGCACCGCATCCTCGAAGGCAAACGAATCCAACTCGTCACGACAGGCAAGCTGCAGGCACAAGAAATACTGACAGCAGGGTGCTGGTGCAGGTGTTGGACCAGTGCCAAGAACAACAAAACAGTTTCTGCAACAAGGAACATGCTATTGCAACACAGCACCTATCTTTCATTATTACCGCGGGCTCAAAAGCTCCGTGCATCCCCCAACCGAGTGCAAGGGCAGGTGGATGAACTCAACAACACGGCATGTGGCATCAATTGTTGACAGACTAGCACATGCGACAATGCTCAAGTCTCCTCCTCACTGGAGACATCAACCGCAGCTGGCTCTGTCATCACTGCGAGGTAGTCCAGCAGATCTTTCCTTTTTGAACCTCCTGGATACTTCTCCAGCCTACCGCCCTGCATAAAGAAAACGGATGGGTATGCCTCGATGTTGCGCATGTTACAGCACTGCTCGCCCAAAGTCGTCGAACAGTCAATCCGGGCGAAAGCGTGATGTGCCTTGCTAGCTTGTGCCTTTCTTGCAGCTGACTCATAGACGGGTGCAAACTTCTTGCACGCTCCACAGGAAGGAGAGAAAAACTCCACAAAACCGGACATGTTCTTGTGCAGCAAATCCTGTAATGAAGCTTCCGACTCAAGGTTTATGACTCTAGCGGAGGAGACAGTGCCGAACTTGGATAAATCTGGATTGCTTGGCATCTTCAATGATGGCAGACCGCGAGCCTTTGCCACAATCCACTGGATGACGCCTCGAAAATCCTTTGTCAGAGCACTTTCCCGCTGAGCAAGTTGATCATCTTGAGCTCGGACCGTTCGATCTACAAACTCGCTGACTTCGCCCGCCCATCTCACTCCCATGGATGGCTTGCCTTCGTCACTCTCCTCAGTAATCCAGCCCAGGCCATTGAATCTACACGTTCAACTGACCCGGCCATTTCGAACAAACCGGGTCACAAGCAAGCTCCATTCGCAGGCGAAAAGTGAAACCAAGCTCATGCATCAGACGCAGATCACATTCGCCGAAGCGGCAGCAGGAAGAGTAATAGCAGAAGGCCATGTAGTGATAACGGTAGCGGTAGCAGCAGTAGCTCTCGCAGTAGTCGTTTTCGTCGGAGCAAGAGTAAGACGAGCAGTAGAAGCAGCAGCTGCGACACTGATAGTAGCAGCAGCAGTAGCAATCGCAGCAGAAGGGGGAGTAGCGGCAGCAGCAGCAGAAGCAGAAGAAGAAGAAGAAGCAGAAGCAGTTGCAGTTGCAGCAGGATCAAGAGCAGCAGCAGCAGCAGCAGCAGCAGCAGCAGTAGCAACCAGTAGCAGCAGTCGCAGTCTGCAAACTCGGCTGCAGATAGACGGTAATCTTGGTATCAACCTGCCGACGACCTCTTCGGTGCATTCGTGCCGACAGCAGCCGATGCCAAGCCTACCGCTCCTTCATCATGCATTACGAGTGTCCCCGTCAGCACTACCTCCACCAGTCCTGCCCTCGCAACCGCATCCACTCCGACAGCGACCCTCAATGGTTGCTGGCATAGGCTGGCATCGCTACAGTGCCACCATGTATGTACCACTTGTTTGTCCAGGCTGCACACAATCATTAAGCAGCAAACGTCACCCGAACATCGTGTACTCTACTCAATGTACTGTTCAGCCTGCCAACTACATCGTGCACATTGCTGGATTTGCTGCAATCGGGCTCTCTCGTGTACTTCCTACAGAAACCTGATCTTTCGGCTGAGTGCCGGTCGATGAGATACAAGTTCGGTGCTGCGAGACCGCCTATGCTTGCAGCAGCATAGAGGCTCAAGGGGACTTCGTTGCGGCGCACGTCCAAAGCTCCCAGGAGCGGTGGCCTGGCACGCGCGGAAACGGAAGCAAATAAGTATAACTATAACCTGCTGTGAATCTCTCGCCCACACCGCGCCTCTCGCAGTTCTCGCTGAGCCAGGCAGCTAGCGTGTCCAATGCTTCCATTTCATCCTCGAGGTCGATAACCTCCAAGGCCCAACGCAATCTAGATTCACTTGCGGCCACTGAGCTACGGGGAAGGCTCACAGCACTGCCACTGCTTGCCGCCTCCTGCTCCTGGGAGAGGCTATCTGGCGACTTGAAGGTGTACAAGAGGGTGGCTGGCTGTGCACGCAACGCATCCTGACGTGTCACGATGGAACCAATGGTCAGGATCATGTTGATTGAGATTCAAGGCTCCTCCAATCCGAGGTTGACAAACTTTCTCCAGAGCTTTCCGGAGGGTGTGGCCTGCGGTCGCTCGGACATCTGTCGTGGTGTCCTCGCCAAAAAGACTGCAGCTATGGGCGAAGAAAGCAGACAAATCAGCCGCATCCTTGAGAGGAGTCCGTTGTACCACTCAGTCAGCTGCCTTGCATTGGCCTGAGCTACAGCAATCAGCTTGTCGGCACATGCAAACTGCGAAACATTGGAAAGAAGCTACTTGCACATGCGAGCACCTATTGAAGCTAAGTCTGAAATTAATTCAATTGTCATGACAGGCACCGGAAGCCCGCTGTCTGCAAAGAAATATCGAGGGCCGTGTCGGAATCGCTGCGCCACAAGAACTGGTGCCGTCCAGGCGTAAAGCTCCTTCTCGACCCAGTCCGGCCATTTGGCGATGTCAATGTACAGACCATACACCTTTTTCTTGTCCTGGTGCGAAACACTCGATGAAGCAACCAAACGGACAAACAAACAAACACATGGCTTCTTTTCAAGCTGTTCCCAAGCAGATTATGCAAAGGGTCTCTTGCAGTGGCGATGGCTCGTTGGAACATTCTCTTGTGTGGCGCAAATGCCCGCTGTAGGGCATCTGACGACGCATCGGCGGCCACCGACGGACCAGCAGCCGAACAGGCTAGCTCGTCTGAACCACAAGATTTTTCGCTTGCCGGAGAAGCCTCGAATCTCAGCGAGATGTCGACTGGAGTGAACGACTGTAAACGCATACTTTTGAGGTTTGCAGGCCTGGCCGGTGGAGTTCAAGACCAACCAGAGCAGCTGCGCGTCAGACTCGAGTCGATCAAGAATCCGGTTCACCTTTTTGGTGTCTGATATCATGATGACCGCCTTGGCTCAACTCGCTTGGTGAAGGGCTGGTACGTAAGTGCAGTCGAGCAGCCGGCTGGAGGTTGTCTTTGACGAAAGCCTCAAATAGCTCTCCATCGTCGTCTAGGCTGTCTGCCCGCGGGTCGGTCCAAGTAAAGTTGTGTGCATCTTGGCCGGCATGCAGGATTTGCGATACTGCGGGCGACACCTCCGTCTTTATCCAGAAAGCACGAAATGTCAGCTTGAGGTCTTGCGCCAGAGATGCGAACGCCGGGACCATGCTGGGTGAGCGTAGCACCAAATGCGGAAGGGAAGTTGGGTCCAAGGTTGGCAGCTCGGAATCATCGCTGATATTCTGGATTGTCGGGGCAGACACCCTGAGGGTCCAGCTAACGATAGCATCTGCGGAGTTGGCTTCCTTGAACTCCATCCGAGCCTTTGTCTTGTCACTGCCTAAATAGAAAACTGATGGAAACTCCTGAGTCCCCAGTTCCTTCATGATGGACTCTGCTTCTGTGCCATCAACAGCGACGACTTTGATGTCTGGAGCTTCTCGCTTGATGCGTTCAGCAGCATTTGACATGTGAGGCGCAAAGGCTTCGCACGCTGGACACGTTGGAGAGAAGATCTCCAAAAGCATGGAAGGACGATCTTCGCGGTTCAGAATGTACTTCAACTTATCCTCAAGGCATCAGATTGCGGTGCGTGGTGCGGGGGACCGGAGACAAGTAAACAGTTTGGACAGATGGGGCTTGTTGCACTACACCGCTCTGTACACACACAAACACAAAACTCGCAAAAGCTCGCTGCTTCACGTATGACAACGGTACTGCAAGCATCGTAGAATTCCGAGCGTCTTCTGTGTATTTCACAATGTGCTTGCCCAGTTTGACATACCCAACAGCAAAAGGCAGCAAGCTCAACAGGCAGCTCAACCTGTAGAGCGCCATGGCGCCAGCAATCTTAAGTTTGCAAAATCGCTGCTGGCGGCCTTCCAACGATCGTAGCTGGGCTCGGAGTTACAATGCATTGAGCCTCCACTCTCCGGTGGCCGGCGTGTCCAGATTTGTCATGCAAGCGCAGACATCAATCACCCCAACGGCTACCTCAAAGGACCCCGCAGCAGCTTAGCACGCCACGGCCTCGCAGGAGCATTGCCTTGACCAGCAGCTGCGCTACTGGGAAGCCCAGCCTCCGCAATGGGAAGCACAGTCTTAATTTTCTGCGTTCAAGGGCCGGGGCTCTAACGCTTGTCGGTCTATTTCGCAAGCCTCCGGCGCAGGCTCCAAAAGAACACACTGACAAGAAGTTGATGCCAAACGGGCTTAGGAGCCTTCTTCAACATGGACTGGGCGAAGGCATCAGAGGCAACGAGGACTGTAGCAAGCCAGTTCAGAACCTCAGACCACAGCGGCTGGTGGCTGGCAGAGACACAGATCTGCGATCGCAAGGACAGAAAGCACTGGGAATTTCAGCAGCTGACCGTCAGGATGTTGACGATCAAAAAGAGAACAGCCAGGATGGCTGTGATGCGTGCCGCTAGGACCTATCCGCGCCCAAGCATAACTGGCGCCCTGCATGTGAACAGTTTGCACCGAGGCAACTGCAGTTGCCCACGCCCCACAGTAATTGGCATCTTGGCTGAGGACCACATGCTGTCAGACATCATGTCGCGGTTCCACTTCAGCCGGAGGGCTGTGCTGAGCAGCCTTGTCAAAAGCAGTAATGCCTGGCACAAAGGTCCAGCCAAAAATCAGCACCCATGTCCACAAGGTCCTCAGTGATCCAAGAGCACTTCGAGATCTTCAGCTCATATGACTGACGGAGAAGTGGCACGCGTCCGAGGGGCATTCCCAACCAGAGCACAGAGGCAACTCCAGAGGCATTGAACCAAATCGACGCTTTCACTTCATCTTCTAGCAAGAGGGCCTGCCAGCCGGGTGTCAGATATGGACTCGGACACTCCGTCAGTTGCCATCAGTTGCCCCTCGCCTCCTGGATGAGAACCGAGTTGCAGACGAAGAGCTCACGTAGTTGTCCAACACCCGGATTACCGGATGTTTGCGCTTCCTGTGTCGTCTACCCATGGGGATCATGAACGAAAACAGCACTTGCTGCAAACCCGAGCCTTAATACGCCGTTGCAGGCGCTCAGTCTTAACCTGTCGTCGGCCGTGCTCAGGTATTTGGTCCGTGCCAACTTAGAGACATCAGGGGTGTCAGCGGTTGCTTGTCTCCTGTGCTGTGCGAGGCGGTCTTCTGTGCAATGCAGCAGGCGCGGACAGCTGGATGGCTCACTCCCAGCAGGAATGCGGAGCGCAAGGCAACAGAATCCAAGTTACAGGAAAATCACGAAGCTGTTGCTGCGCTCACTTCGCTTCGTGGCAAAGCCAAATCGTTGCTGCGATTGCAGCGACTTTCGTCTCGAACCATGCAAAACAGCACAGGGGCAAGTTCAGATTCGCACCAAAGCTTTGCTTCTTTTGGAATCGTTTGAGCCAGCCCTAGCGGCTCAGCTGCCGGGCTCAGCCGATATCCTTTGGGACACAGGGTGAGCACGGCCCAACACGCTGAAGGGGGCCATGCTGCTCAGCATATGCCCGAAGACAGAGAGAGCATGGGCATCCTCTCCTCTGCTCTAGATCTGATGATGTGACTGCTATCTGTGTCTTCCCCCCGTGAACCCTAACACATCAGCACACCGGTTCCTGGTCTGACAAGACAAGCAGAACGCACACTTTGAAAGGAAACACGGAGGCTTACTGTGTCGCATCCCGAAAGAGCTTCTGGGTACGTAAGACAAGTGTCCTCGAGACTTCAGCGCACATGCGTGCGTGGGTGTGTGTGTGTGTGTGTGAGTGAGTGAGTGTGTGTGTGTGTGTGTGTGTGTGAGTGAGTGAGTGAGTGAGTGAGTGAGTGAGTGAGTGAGTGTGTGTGTGTGTGTGTGGAACACCTGTTTGCCAAGGTTTGCGGATTTGCATAGTTTGTGCAGGGGGGCAACCCCGTGAGCATAGCTGGTTGCCCAACGAAGAGGGCTATGCCACGGCTGATACTGGGTCTGATCAACCCAGCGTACCTGCCAGTGTTTTGCAAGTGTTATGGCTCGGGGCTAAGCCGAGAACCCCAATAAGTGTGTTTGATGTTACTGCCTAGTGGCTTAAAATCCGATACCTCTATGTTGAAAGACTGAGTTCCGACAATTACCATCAGTCCAGAGGGAGGATTGCACGAGTGTGCTCTAGACGGCTTTCGTCGATCGTGTCGTCTACGGTAGGGTAGCCTACTGCCTGGCCCTGATCGGCCCAGTCAAAATCACAGGACCCTGATCGGTCCAAGCCCTGATCGGCTTCTTGCCAAAACAAGACCTCTTGGTCTCCAGAGATCGAAAATGCTCTACGGAGCAATCATATGCAGTTTAGGGCTTGATTGCCCAGTTGCAGACAGGACTGATGCCCTCTCGTTCTCACAACAGCCGTCAGTCTGATCAAGTAACTGTTCTCCCCTGGACAACTGACCTCGCCATGGCCTCCTGGTCATCATCATCATGGTCTAACAGCGACTCCAGCAACAGCTGGGACAATCGACAGCAATGGAATCGATGGAGCAAAGAAGACAAATGGGACTCCACATACTCAGAGAAGTCGTGGGAATGTGTAGCCAGTCCCACGTATCAAACTTTTTCGTTGCCGTCTTCTTTTGTTTCTGATGACCAGCACTATGACAAGACCCCTTTGGGCAAAGGTGCTCATGTGCTGCATAAGTTGGTTCAACCCACAGAGTGGTCTCGCAAAGCTGGGCTGGCTGGCCGTGATGTCAGCGACATCCGTGCCTTTGAGCTTGCCCATCGAGGCCTTGGAGATTTCTCATTTCGATTGTTGTCAGAAGGAAGGCACCAGAGTATCGTCTGGGCTCGAAGCGGCCAAGAATCGGTACTCATTACTGCACTGTTGAAGAAGCTTCGTGAAAGTGGCATTTCTATCGATGAGGCAGCAAAAGCCTGCCATACTTCGGCTCCTCCCGACAAGCATAAGGAAGCAATGCGATTCATGGAACCGCTTGCTCAAGAACTTTTGAATTGTGTTTTGGCCAAAGCGCCTCCAACAAATCCGGATGCCTCCGAAGAACTTGCCAAAGCTAAAGCCAAATTGGCTGAGCATGGCATTGCTATGTCTCCCCTGAAAAGGAAGGCGACTGAAGATCCTGAGCCTGACTCAGGACGACGGGCAAAGCCTGCCATGCCCATTGCTGAGCCGGAATCCCAAATGGAAGCTGAACAGCTCCTTAAAGATCCGCAACGAAAGCTGGATACTCGTCCCAAAGGAGCCACAGATGACCATGTCACTGAATGGCTAGCCACTTACAAGAACAAGCCAGAGTTTAAAGGCAAGTATCAAATGTTGGTTAAGCATGTACAGACTGTCCAGAAGCTTCTCAAAACTGAAGCATCTAAAGACCAATTGGTTGCAGCTGCTAAAGAGTTTGGACTGGATCCAAAGCTGGCATCCAGGCTGTCCATCAAGAATTTGTCTACTGTGATTGCTGTTGCACAATTTCAAACTGCTTGACTAGCAGTTCAATGCCAACATCTTGCTGCTTCAAGCAAACAAGAGATCAAGCAGCAAATTTGTATGCTGGGAGAGGCTGTGACGTTCTTTTTGCACCACTGTCCGGGCTTCAACAAAGAGTCGGCACTGTGGGCCCAAGGCCTGCTTCATCTTCTGTTGCTTTTTTACTTTCAAGAAGGATCTCCGTCTTCGTATGCTGAGACCATTCGACAGAAGCTTCAGCAGTTCCGGGTGCACCCCGCCACTTACACGTGGCCCAGATTTCAATCACAAAATGCGGTGTATATGAAAACAGCAGTGGATTGGCGCCATTTTTCAAGCATTGAACATTACAGGCAGCCTTCCACATTCATGTACATAGGCTCTACCAGCCAATCTGTTTTTCGAAGAGAGTCCAACAGATTCTCAGTTGCCAGGAAGCTGGCAAACGGGGGCGAAGCTCAGGCCGAGCTAGCCATCCGATACTGGGTGTCCAATCAGTGTCTTGAGCAGTACACTTTGTTTCTCGTTTCTCCATGCTCAACTTACAAGGAAGCATGGGTAACGGAACACTGCTTAATTGGGATGTGGCAACCCAAGCTGAATCACCCGTACATCACCTCCTTTTTGAAAAGGAGTGCACTGGGCTTTAGACCCAACAAGAGAGTTCGACATAGTGTGTCTTCTAGGTTCGGGTTAAGACTCTGGAGGAAACTGAGAAAGAAGCTCCACAGACAACTTCAGCCCGTTCCTTTTCAACTCAAGAGAAGGTCGGCATGGGAGATACTATTCAATCTTACATGCTTCAGCCGTGCCCCCTTTGAAGAGGCAAAAAAGCTGCGAAGCGACCGATACCTTCCAGATGAGATTTACTCTTTGGTTCGCTTGAGCAACTGCCTGGAAGAGCCTGGCAAAAGTAAAGCCAGGAAGGTGCTCAAAAGTGTTTGCCAATTCCGAAACATGTCCTGGCCAACGGCAACACTGGGCTTGCAGTTGAAATTCACTGCATCCCCAAGCTTTGGGTCAGATGTTTCTAGATGGATCCGAAAGCTTGTATTGGCACACAAGCCGATCCTTATACCTTTTCACCTTCCAGTTTGCAAAGTCAGAGAGCAACCTCATCAGTCTCTCAAAGACTTCATGCACAATTTCAAAGACTGGGACCAATGGTTACAGAATCATTCTGTTGATGAAGCACCATGCCCTTGTGCTTACTATGCCAAACTACTGCCGGAAAAGTGCCTCACTCGAGGCCATGTTGTAGCAGGCATAGAACAACTTGGCAGTCTTCACCGCTCCTTTGAAAAACTAGGGAGTGGTAGTGCATCTTCAGCCTTTTTTCCTTCCAAAAGAGAATTTTTCAATCACAACACCCGTCTGTTTGCATCTTGGCGGCGCAAGCATTGT